AGATGATGAAGGAGAAACTCGGTAAGGATCATCCAGACACGCTGACTAGCATGAACAATCTAGCATTCACGTTGAAAAAAACTGGCAGAGGAACTGAAGCTGCAAGACTTATGGAAGAATGCATGCAATCAAGGAAACGTATATTAGGACTTGATCACCCAGATACCCTATCATCTTGCACATCTCTGGCTGCATGGAAGGCAGAGCAAGAGGATGTTGTATTGTCAGTCTCAGTGTTGCCAATAGTATATTAGTCTTAGCAGTATATTGCAATATATATTGCAATATAGGCCTTAGCAATACAATATGGCCTTACGCCATATGACTGTAATACAATACGGCAATATCATATGGCAATATATGGCAATATAGTGCCAAGACCTATGTGACTAATTATTACACACGTGATAGTAAATGATGACGAGAATAAGTATGTAATCTATAATATAAGTTAAGGCTATTTGAAAACTCTAATTTAATAGTTCTATCAACAATTCAACGTCAATGCCTTTGACAAATGCAGAGTCGAGCGCCTTATCACTAATTGATAGCGATGTTTTTCAAGACGATACTGAATTGTCACTCTCCTCACAACTGGATTCTAATAGTACTATAGTACTATCAGTTACATCAAAATCAGGGCGTTACAAACGAACTTCATGGATTTGGCAACATGATAGGAATCCTTTAGCAACATACCAACAAAATGGGCACTCAATGTGGCAATGTTTGTATTGTACAAAGCAGTATAGAGAATCGGGTGGTACTGCAGCTCCAGCGAAACACTTGATGGATTTACACCAAGTAACAGATACTCATATACAAGTACGCAGACAATCAACAAAAGTCGAATATAGTGTATGGGCAGCAGTTGGCTGGAATTTTAAGAGCCCTTTAATATTTTACAACAAATCAGGAATACGAGGAGGGTTTACAGGTGAAGATATCTTCAAGACTGTTTAAAGGGGTTTATTGAGCCGACTTTTGCACAAGGACATAATCGGCATCGCATTTTACAAGAAGACAATGACGGAGCACATGGCACAAAGACAAGAAATAACCAAATGCAATTTGGAAGCAAGAGCATAATCTTGAGTGCTTAAAATGGCCACCTCAAAGTCCTGACCTTTCTCCAATCGAGAATGTTTGGCGCATTCTAAAGTCGCGTGTTCGCGCACGTAATGCGCGTAATAGGGACGAGCTACGGAGCTTCATTCTTGAGGAGTGGGATATTACACAGGAGGAAATCAATACATTGATTTTAGCAGTACCTGATCGTATGATTTCTTGTAGACTACGAGGACGATTCTCAACACCATATTAATTGTACATAGTTATTACATAGTTACAAGCGCAAGTCGCGTATTTCAAGTGTCCGGATAATTTTTCGAACCGCCTTCGATTGTTTCTCTTCAATATATGACTGCAATATATTATATTGCCAAGCTTTATTAGCGTTATATGATTGTAATACAATATGGGAATTTCATTCCAATATATTGCCAAGACGCACTATTGGCAACACGGGTCAGTCTAAAGGCTAGCGTAATGGACTTGGTTGTAATAACACAATTTTGCTATGCTCGTTCGAAACGAACAAGCTGAGTTCTATAGAATCGCCACAGTAACGTCCATCCTTAGGTGGCGAGAAACCCACCGTTCTGAGAGATGTTCGCGCACTCTCAAAGCTATGTAAGCATAGTGTAGTTCAGCTTCGCGTCAGCCACAGCCTGATCACACATATGCGAGATTTACGTGGGGTCGTTATATAGTCACCAAAAATCGTCAGTCGCTTCGACACGAGGTATTGATTTCCATAGCAACCATTCATGAATTTGCCCCGCACAGCCGCCACATGGCTGATGACGGTCTCCCACACAGTAGTAAGGCCTTAGAGCTCAGTTATAATCGCATTATATGTTTTAGGAATAGTAAGAGCTAAAAGGTTGAGCTGTAGTGGACAAAGTCAAAGTACCCATCATTTTTCTCGGCACGGTTGGTTTCTCGCTACGTATGGATGGACGTTATACTAGAAAATAGGCTAATCAAATAAGGGTAGTAAAACCGTTCTACGGAGGTATTTTAAGTAGTTTAACGGTTTCTTAAAAAAATGAGGTGGTTTATTAAAAAAGGAAGGAAATGTTATACTCTATCTTATGTACACAAAAATACTACTTACTACGATATAATATGAAATATATATTTATTCTATAAGATCAAATCCTAAGCTTAACTCCCATTTAACATGAAGAGAATAGATATAGAGAAAGTAGTGGACATTAAATAAAAGGCTCATAAAGGAAGGTCCATGCGAAGCTGCAGGGGGAGCTGTAGGTGAACCTTATCACCATGATATATTAAGTAAAGTGGTTAGAAGCATATTAATCCTCTAATCAATACTCCCAATCGCACAGATCATTCGCTATTTCCCATACCTCCTCGCGTTTTAACTCCATGGATCTGCTCAACAAGATCCTGGGAGTAACTTCCATAGCGAGAACAGCATTACCAGATCCCAAAGGTATGGGCACGAATTTCAAGCTGTCCGTTAGGAAATAATCCGGGAATGCAAACTACGGACTTCTCGGGCATACCACCTGTAATATCCGCAAGTTCGGCCATTGCCCGGCCGTGGAGGTGCTCTTCGGCTGTCGTCGTAGAGGGCCAGGAGTGGCTGGTTGTAGATGGGGGGTCAATCCAAAACCCAATTTCTCAAACACTGCGTAAAAGGGGGAAGAGCAGACCAACATCAGCATTTGATCTTGATAACTATGGGTAACGAAGGATACTCGCGAGGAAAGTCCGTGTATTTCGCTCTACATATATTCCATCCGAGATGCGCTAAACAAGTTTACAATCAGCACAGAGATACGTTCAAAGCAGTGAATTTCATGGTGGTCCTTAGCTGAGTATCCGAGGGTTATTTCCTACATCAACAAGAGTTAAAGGAGGCTCTCAAAACCCCACCGATTCCCACCACTATCCTCTCTCTCGTCGGCAATACTTCTTGTCACCACCCCAATTCTCCCCACCGATCCCCCTCCCCACCGCCATCACTCCCACCAATCTTCCCTTCCCCACTACTCCTTTCTTCCATCTCATAATAACGTCCAGCCACCCCATTCCGCCCATCAAGAACACCACGCCACCAATAAAATCAGACGTTGAGCTATTGCTTGATAAAGATAAAAACGCAGTCGATGCTGACACGGACCTTTTCGTTAAATGCCAGGAACATCCTCCTAGTCGGCGGCATACAGGAGTGAGGCGATGGGCAGTGGTGGTGTGGATGGTGGCGTGTTGGGAGGGGGGATGGATGTTAGTAACACATACATACACACGCCTCCACAGTCCAGACCAGGACAAGACAGGAAAAGTGTATCTTTTTCGTCCTTGAGTTTTTATACCAGTCCCGTGGTTTACCCTTCCCCGTGCTCGGAACTGAAGAATATGAATTGAGCACACCTCACTCTCACTCGGCACCGACATAATCCCCCCCCCCCAACATGGAAAGCTGTTATTTTTCCATTTCAGCGCTCAGCCAAGTCTTGCATACGAAGAAGTTTGAGGCAGGTAACATGATATAAACCCACCAACTACCAACTCCTCCCAAAGTCTCACCACAACTGCACCATCACCTTCATCACCAAACCTACCACCCACCACCAACAGCACCAAACCAACCCCACACCCCCCCACCAGACAAGTATAACATCCATCCGGGTTGTTATGGCCCAAAGACCCTTCCCTCCTTTCCCCTCTCTTCCCCAATATCAATATCAATCAACATCCCCCCCTTCCAAACCATCAACCAACGAAAACAGACCCAAACTATCCCAACCCTTCTCACCTCCTCCCGTCTGCGGGTAGTGGCGATATTGTGCATATGATAGCGTGTTTGCCGGGGCGGAGATGGTGCGGTTGGTGGCCCGGGGGGGGGGTGTTCCCGTCGTCAGCAACTCTTCTCGTCGTTGGCAGCCCCCTTTCTCGTCACCAGCTCCTTTCCCATCACCATCACCATCCCGTCACTTCTCCACCCCCGTCACCACCGCCATCATCCAGTCCTCACACTACCCCCCTCCCACCCATCTCCACGCCCGGAACAATCCCCCCTCCCACCACGATTCTCCTTTTGCTCGGGAGTAGCTGCGCGGGACCCGAACAGACTGTCGCTGGAATCAATTTCGGATTGGGCGGTACCCGCACGCACCCAGATTATGGGTATCCTTCTTTGTATATTATATTCGTCATATCGACCGACCGTGCCCCTTTTAAAGAAGTCGGGGGGAGGGGGGGGGTTATATAATCCCCCCACCCACCTCCTTACCCCCCTCTCCCCTTAGGATTACGCACATTTCAAAGGGACACCGGATGACTAACTACTAGCACCCCATCCCCTACTACTACTACCATACCACGCAATCTCCACCCATCCATATCACCGTATAATACCCCCCTTTCCCCCCCC